CTGAAGATTGACAGCCTGGGAGACCCTGGGGGCAGTTCCACTCTGTCCACTAGGGGCGCTGTGAGTCGGAATCAAACCCACCACAGTGGGTTAGTGGGTGGATAGCCTCCTTATGGGTGGGCTGGGATACATGCTCCCCGCCCCGAAGGCTGCCCTGGGCCCAGACCACTTTAGCTGCTCCCACCAGACCCTCAGAAGGAGGTGCTGAGTCCTCTCAGGGCTACAAGGCTGCAGTGGGGTATCTGGGCTGGGCAGACCTCCCCTGGCCTCATCCACAGCCCGAGAGGGTGAGGAAGCAGACATCACCCCAATTCCCAGAGGGAGAAACAGTCCAGAGGTCAAGGGCTGCCCCAGAGTCAGCCTGGGCCTGGAGCCCACAGCTCCCTACTCTTCGTTCCTGACCTCCCAAGACAGCCAAACTCCACATTCCTGAGGGCTGTTTCTTCTGCCGGACCATTCTCTCTGTCTTCCTGGCCGGCCGGTGGCCTCTCCTGGCCTGCCCTGTGCTCAGTGGCCAGCTCACTCGGCCAGGCTTCCTGGGGGGGTCCCTCCACCACAACCTCGGTCACACTTGAGGGATTTCGCAGCTGACTCAGGCTCTGGTGTTCAGCCCTGGATCAGTTTCCCATTCAAAAAATGGCAGGGGCCTGGTTGCGGGAAGATGGGGGAGGACCCCAGGCTAAATGTGTCCTCTGGGGCTAGTGGGCCTCCCCTTTGGCTGGGGTCTCTGGGTGGAGCTCTGACACCCATACCTGTAGGTGTGACTGTATTTGGAAAAGGGATCCTTTGTTGTGTTAATGAGGCTGTAACAGTGTGGGGTGTGTTCTAAACAATCCCTTCTGAGTCACAAAAAGAGCAGCAAACACAGACAGAAGCCAGCACACAAGGAAGAGGACAGATGCCCCCCCATGAGGGAAGGGTACACCAGGAGTGAGATGCAGGGGCTACAGATGCTGAAAGACACAGGACCTTCCCACAGGGCCAACAGCGAGGGCTTCCCCCTGGAGCCGGCACCCTGAGTTCAGAATTCTAGCGCCCTGAACTTGGAGAAAATAAACACCTGCTCTTTAGAGCCCCCTACTCGTGGTATCTGCATTACAGCAGCACTTGGGAACTAAGATACAGGTTCGAGTCCACCCAAAGAATCAGCCATTGCAAACCCCACAGAGCA